TCGGACGCAGCAATCAATTGTTTAAAGTACTTTATAATATAAATAAATGTCCGACTTATCGAGTTTAGATGTGTAGTGTTTTTTAGGTGGAAGCAGTAACAAAAAAAAAGTGTCAAAATAAAGCACAAAAAAGAAAGGGAAGAATTTTATTTCTTTCTTTCTTTCTTTCTTAGGAAGTGTCATCAATTCTGAAGGCTCACTTTCCCAATAAAATAGAAAGTAATTGAATTGTTCTTTACAAATGTATCTAAATGGGAAAGATTGATTATTTTATTTTTTATAATAAATTTAAAACTAACAAACATTAATTGACCCATTTATAAAACAAAGGAAAAAACCTATTTACTTTATCTACAATTAACGAATCCTTTAATTTCCCCTTCAATTAATGCGATCCTGAAAATACAACAGCTTTCTTCCACTGCTTGTATTAAAAGTTGCAATACCAACTCAATGAAGACACTTTCATTCATCTTACTTTACACGACCTACTTGAAGATACTTTTAGTCATTCGTTGTTTGGTAAGAATTTTCTTGTTTTAGATTTGAATTGTACAACTCGTAATGTAAATAAATACACGTATACTGTTAATGACAAAGTCATCCAGCACAATAGTCCTTTTTAAATGTTAAATTACTACTATTATTATTGTGGCTTATCTATTTTGCACACAATTTCATCAATATGTCTTGATTTTTCCATTTTATCCATCCTTTCAGCCATTGATATCATTTCTTCCTTTTGAGTTTCTTTCATTTCGGCCATTGATTTTTTCATTTCCCTGATTTCTTCCTTTAGAGTTTCACTTTCATCTATTATTATTCGCTTTTCTCCCAGAGATCTATCTATTTCTTTGCGCAGCTGCCATTGAGTGAATGTTGTTGAAGTAGCCAGAAAGCCATCAGGTGCTGGTTTCTCCTCTGTAAAGAAGGATATATTTCTTGTTAAAGAGAGAACCAGTATAAATATGCATGCCTTGACAAAGTAAAAATCGATTGGCCATTTTAACACAA